AAAATTTTGAGGTTTTTTCCGTCGTATTTTAAATTGTAAGGGGTGCCTCGAGAAGAAAATTTTACGAGGAAACCAATGAAACCACTTTTAAAACCTTAAAGTTTTGTATAAACGGAGTTACAAACTTGTAAAGTTTCTAAATTATGTCCGACCTATCCTATTGTCTCGATCCACCGTGCGGCGCGGAAAATCGGCCTACTTCCCGGCAGATGCTGCGCATAATTAAAGTCGAACGCGGATCTGGCAACATGGCGCGTAATGAATTCATGAATGGTAAAACTCTCGACTCGTCGGCTTAAGTGTTACTCTCGACTTGGAGCCCGGCTCAGGCTCAAGTCATTAGCGGACTTCGCGCCGACCAATTTCAGCGGTTTTTTTTTCCTAACTCGTATTTACGATCCAAGTGGCGCAGCTTTAATGAAAAGTAAGAGGTTCCACTTTCTATTTCGATGTGTCGTACGATTCCACCTGCGTCAAGTGGAGATGAATGTTGTGGATGTAGACGCGCAGGTTCAGGGATCTTCCGAGGGAAGGGCGATCAGAATTGATCAGGGTGACGACGGTTAGGATAATGCTGGAAGCGCCAATTTGTTGGGAATTATGGCATTTGTCCGTTTTGGCAACGGAGCATATCGATCAGTGGTTGCTAGATTGTGGACTATGTTGTAAGAAATGAAGTACCGAAAAATATTGAGAAAAACGAGATCCAAATTCGTCGTTTCCCAGACGAAGGAAGGTTGCATAATTGACTCCGTCGATTCAATTTTTCACAGGCATGTACACGTGCAATAATTGTTATCAAATTTTTCCTGATTTTTGCTTCAGATCAGAAGAAAAATCTGCGAAACTCTTAGTAGGGAATCCTTAAGATTTTTCAGGTAAAAATCAGAGACAAGAGACCCTCCACTCGAATCTCGGCTTTATTAGCCGAGAAAAAGCTTCTACAATAATTGTGGAAGCTTTTTCTTTCGGGACTTCAACAATTAACTGTTGACTTACCTACATGGTTTATGTTTAACAACGTATTGGCAGTTTCGCTTTGAAAACAAGCTAGAACAAGTCGAAGTTTGGGAAACTTGTTTGGCTCATGACGTCACCCGAAGCTCATCATTCACCATTTGAGTAGGTCAACAGCCGGAAAAAGAGTGATGGCTGTTGCTCCCTTATAATTGTCCATAAGGAAGTGTTGAATCACCGAAAGTAAAAGCTTCCACCTGTCGCCTAGAGGCCAGTGGAGGGTCTTTTGCCTCTGATAAAAATTTAATATGCGAGAGAAAATTTGGCAACATTGAAATATAGTTACGTTCTTTCGTGAGGGCAACGACATATTGGTCCGGGGTTTTTTCAGAAAGATCAGGGGCATTTTGAAAGAGTCCAGTCGCAAGCCCAGTTGACAAGAGGTAGAAAGGGTTGGGGGTGAGGGAACAGTTACTGCGGAAGGAGGCTCTGAAATTAGGAGCATTTTGAAAATTGGATACCTCTCGCATACAAATGGAAGCTCTCTGGAGGTATAGGTGTATGATTTGTCGTAGAAATTTTTTGGATTTCATCTCTTCTTTTTCGTACATTATAATTTTATTTTTAAAAGGTAGACACCACGTGACGATGTATTTCAGCGTCACCTCCAGACTTTGATTCATTTCTTAGCATCAGAACAGCACTTTTTATCGCGGGTCAATGTGAATGCAACCAAAAAACTTGTGCGCCTACAATTTTCTGCGTATGCAATGCGGACACTCGGACAGCCCTGGAGCTGAAATAGTTGCATTCAGGCGCTGTAGTTATCAACAGCAAGGAGAGATAAAAGCAAAGTGTGTTAGGAGGAGCTAGAAATCTGTTGAAAGGAAGAAAAAGTCATGACTTGTGATGTAGATAGGTACAAATGGACCGATTGAATCAGAAATGTACCTGGTTACACTGTTTGTTGCCTAATTACATCTCGTCTTGTATTTTTTTACCAGAAATCCAACGAGTATTCCTAAAAGTTTGTGAATGTATTCATCACGATCAAGAAGAAATTTACTGAAAGTTTCATCGCGTTGTGTTGTGTAGTTTCCGTGTGAATGAATAGAACATGCGAGAGGAAGTTACGCAACGTTTTTAGTTTCGGACTGATTCTGGTTAACGCTATCGAGAAGAAAAGGTGGCCACTTCCTTTCATTTTTTTCCATGTGAGAGGCCAGTTATTAGCACGCAAAACGCCGCGCCAGTTTCATTTTTTTTAAATTCTCAGTATCCAAAGATAGAAATGGAAATGGAAGCAACCGAAAGTTAGTCTCATTGTTCGGTGAAAGAGTGTTCGTGTCAAAGCACCGTAGACACAACAAAAAAGCGCGTGGCGTGGATACTCAGGATAGGATCTCGAGGCAATTGAGCGTGGTTTCGGCGATAGTGATTTTTAAGTATATCATTGTTCTGCATCCTCTTTATAGCCTTGGGCCAGGGAAGCTCGGTTATAAGCCTCGCGGGCTCACGGCAAAACCTCGTATGAACGTTCGAATGTTGCCAAATTTCCTCGGGTAAATAATTATTTCTGAGGAAAATTATGAATCTTTTTCCTTGCAAAGGAGAATTAGCTCACAAAAATTTTAGCGCCTCATCTGAGAGTGCTTTATGAGCTGAGTTTGCAGTAATTATCATAATCTTTTTCTGATGTGCGGGAAATAGTAAAAAAAATAGGCTTAAAAGTGAGAAAATGTGCCGCCTTGTTACGTCATCCGGCGGCATTTCCGATTTAAACACAAGCATTTTAGCAGATTAGGTTATTTTTTCATATCAGTGGCAAGGCGTGAATGATTATCGGTATTTTTCCACTCGAAGCTATGGTAAATAATCGATCATTACGGTGTTCGTTGCAAATGCCTGTTTATCGATCCTTTTCCACAGGTTCAAATGGCAGATCAATCTATATATCACAAAGCACCCCACGCCACTGAATGCTATCCTCGTGTTCAGTTCTTTCAATAGATTCTCCTTACACACGAAATTCATCAACTACCAGACACCTGCAAATTCTCAATTTTCAGACACTAACGATCAAAGTGCGATTACATTCGCCGTAGACTGAGACGGAAATTATTCACAAGTCTCTCTGAAAATTCTGAGTTAATCGGGGAAGTTTGGCAGCGTGTAATGGCTCATACGTCGTTTTTCCTGAGCACGGCAGAGATGGTAATCCGGCGTTAATCTGATGGATGTCGCCGATTCTCCTCGAGAATGGACTCTCTCCCGGGAANGGGGGGGGGGGGGGGTTGTCCGCAGACTCCACATCGACCAACGCCAACAGCTAACACCTCGGGTGTCGCACAGTGGATTGAGTCGACTAGAAAGGTCGGACATGAAATTTTTGACTTAAACTGCAAATTTTGATGTTATTTCTTCACATTTTACAGGGTTGCCACTGTCAGGGAAAACTGAGAAATGTCCGGGAAAATAACGAAAATGTCAGGGAAAATTTGTCAAATCACCTCCATTTGCACTTTGGAATGGGTTTGAGATTTTGAACAAGAAATTTTGCCGGAAAACGATTTTCAATTATGCCTTCTTAACCGTCCGTCACATATTCAATAATTTTCAGGGAATTTCACCAAAATGTCTCATGGAAATGTCAGGGAATTTCATTTGCTAAATTCTGTGGCAACCCTGATTTTAAATTTCAAGGGCGGCTGTAAGAAGAAAATTTCACGAGAAAACCAATGGAACCACTTTTAGAACCTAAAAGTTTTGTATAAATGGAGTTATATGCGTTTAAAGTCTCCACATTTTGTCCAACTTCCACCATCGAAAAGTTTTGTATAAATGGAGTTATATGCGTTTAAAATCTCCACATTTTGTCCAACTTCCACCATCGACTTGTTCCACCGTGTGCGCTCCGGTCACGCACCGCTGGTCCCGCGGCGAAAGTCGAGAGCCTCGATTTTGTCTTCTTTTTCGAGCTGTTTAATTGCCCGCAAGGAAATCGGAGATGAATTAAGCGCCTAATTACGACGCCTCCACCCGCGCGCCCGTAGCTGGAGATCCGACTTACGTAGTCCGAAATCGAACTCTTCAAGCGAATTTAATGCCGCGGTCCGGAACTAGTTTTTACACCCGTACCCTCTGCTTTTGCAGTTTTTTGAGCTCCTAACCTCCGCTTCGGGTGTTTAATCAATGGTGTCTAAATCTGGAAATAACCGGGACTCGGAAGGAAATGCAAATTTTTAGGGAAAATCAAGAAAAAATCAGGGAATCTGTTTAGGAAACCGGGAATCTCTTCCTCTACCGCTTAGAGTGTACGTTATTGTTACTGAGCCGCCATTATTAACCTTTTGAATGGCATGTCTGAGTCTTCAGATCATGATGTAGTTGCCACGTTGTGCTGGGAAATCAGCACCTTTCCCTATTTAAAACGATGTAGAGAATTCACATTTCATCGTTTAATCTGACGACTGTGGATCATAAGAATAATAGAAAAGATTTCATGAAGTGGATACCCAATGTGAACATCAGAAATCCTTTCAAAATTGAAAATTTGACTGTGTACTGAAAATCGACTTGAACAGGAAAACAATCGATATGAATATTTAAAACTCTGGAGAATTGTATGGTTTCTCGGAAACAAATCCGGAGAACTGGGAGAAACTTTTCCTTTCGGATCAGGGAATGAGCTTTGTTAAGAATAATAGAATTTGTGGTTTAATCGCAACATTTTAAGTTCCTGATCAATTATTAAATGAAAGTTTATGGTACCGTCTATGGGGTCATGTTTTCTTTCATTTTTTTCCGTTTCTCATTTTTCTTTCATTTCTCATTTTTCTTTCATTTCTCATTTTTCTCATTTTGTTCCGTCTATCCGTATTTTCATGTTTATCCGTTTTTCATTTTTCATTTTTTCCCCATTTTGTTCCGTTTTTTATTTTTCATTTTTTTCCCCATTTTGTTCCGGTTTTTATTTTTCATTTTGCTCCCTTTTTATTTTTCTATCATTTTTTCATTGTAATTGTGATTTTGTGTGGTTGCAGTTGGGCGGCCCTCACGAGACGGGGATCATCTACCTGGGACGGCGGCGGGCCAGCAGCGAGGAGTCGTCGACGGACAACGAGATCGAAAACGACAACGAAAACGAGTCGGACGCCTTCGCTTGCGAGGAAGTCACCAGGTGCAGCGTCACCTTCATCGGAGACAACGTCCTCATCAACGGCAAATCTAACCTCAAAAAACACGCCAAAAGAGAAAAAGTAAGTCCACCCTACCTCCTTACCACGCTCCTCTCCTAGTATGCTTTTGTTCGGAGAAAATTAAGGAAACCGAAAAAAAAAACGAGAGAAATTAAAAGGGTCTGCGAAAACCGGGAAATGGCAGGGAATTTTAAAAAGTCAGGGGAAACCGGGAAATGTTTTTGTAAAAATCGGCAGTGGCATTGCGTGATTTGCGATTTATCGATTGATCCGTCATTTCAACCTATGGAAAAAGATCGACAAAGAGGGTGTTCGAAAAGAACATATCAATAATCGATTCTTTACCACAGCTTCAAATAGGGAATTATCGATAATCGATCGTTTACGCCTCGCCACTGAAAATCGATGCTCCGAGCTAAGCATTTACTCTTTAGATTAACACCAAATTTTTTTACTTGCTTGATCAAAATTTCGGTTCATGAAACAGTTCTTTTAACCTCATAAGTTCGGCTTTACGAAATGAACGTTTGGTGTGGTTAGAGGATTTTATTTCTCCCATAATTGTATCACGTATTTCGTTCCATGTACTTTTCTACTCATGCGTTAAAGTCTCTGAGTCTGCCGAAAAGAGTTCACGTTCGCCTTCATTTTGTGGATTTGCAATTTCATCCTCTTGGAGGTCAAAATAGTTGTATCACTTGTATCACGTGTTTTTCCTCTATCCAACTTTTCTACTCATGCGTTTAAGTCTCAGAGTCAGTTGAAAAGAGTTCCGTTCTCCTTTATCTCGTGGATTTGCAGCCTTACTAACTTGGAAGTCGAAATAGTTGTATCAAGCGTTTGGCCCCATGTGTGTGTGAAAAAGGACCTCATCCTCCGCAGGAAAATCGCCGAAACAGTCAACTGTGTGTGGAGACGATCGAGGGAAGCGCCTGCAAAGCTAGATGGATACTTCTAGCATCGCGCTATTTCCCCGATTTTTAGTCTCGCTCTTGGCTCTTGACTCGCCAAGTGCGCCAAGTTCCAAGGTGCGCACGCTATTTCTGCCGAAGGAAAAACGCCGTATGAACATTCGAGTGTTGCCAAATTTCCCTCGGTCAAACATGTATTTTTGACAACATTCACGCATATTTTTCCTTGAAATTAACGATGCCATCGCATCAACATTGTGTAATCCATTCAAAAAAGAGAAAGAATCGAAAGTACGGCTGTTGTTTTTCGCAGAACTTTTTATCAGTTCCTAGTTCGCATTCCTTACTCTCATAATTAACTATTACGGCAGCACTGTGGATTGATCGTGTCGTTGGTAGCATCGGAGGAAGGAAAACAATCTGAAATTGTCGACCATAATTCCTAGATTAAGTGTCATTTACGAAGACGATAAAATTACATACTGTCTCGGCACTCGAGTATAAGTGCAGCTTTCTGACGAGGAAGAATTCAATTTTTAAAAATTCAGCAGCAGCTATGAACAACGAACAACCCGTACAGTTCACGCAGTTTTTGAGAATAATTCAAATAAAAAAAAGGAGCATTAGATTGCAAAGGGAGGTAACCTTAGAAGACGTACTGCTATGTTCAGAATGTTGAGTGTTAGGGTGTAACACGATTATCACTCTTTATGCTATGAGTTAAGCTAATATTGACTTCCTTGTTCTTTCTACTCGCGAACTTAAATATTTAGAGTAGAGTATTTGCCGTCATAGATAACAAGAATTAATGCTTTAAGAGCATCTAAGCAAACCAGCTACTTTGAGATTAGCGATCTTAACAAAATTTATCCTTTGTACGTCTCTTTGGGGCGTACTTTAGCGTGGGAGTTAATGTTTTGGCATGTATATTAGTAAAGTACGAATGTTTCCAGTCGAAGTATTTTAGTCGGGGGAAAATATTTTTAAGTTTACCAGGATATTCTTGTTTCACTGTAGGAAATTCGGCATCGTCTGAAGGCTAATACTTATGGCGTTTTTCCCTAGCACGGTAGTATGGACCACTAGACAAGGTACGAATTTAAGCAATCAGATAAATATTTCTTAACCAAAATTTCACGTAGATCACGATTCACGCAACGGAAATTACTAAAAGTAACTCCTAACGAAGACATTAACGTTTTTATTTCACACTGCCTACGAGGAATTTGAACTTCCCGCTCACAAGAAACTCAAAGCTCTACATGAGTCAAATCGCGCACCACGCGACGGTTTCAGCAAGCTTCTAAATCGAGCAATGTTCATTTCCCACCATGAGTTGTTCTCTATAAGCACTATAAGCAATTTGCTACAGCTGAGTCAAAGCGTCAAGATTGAGGTTGCCAGATTTTTATATCGCAGAGACTATCATGATAACGTTTAGCGCGCGATGTGAATCACGTTGAGCATTGAGTTTTCATGAGCGGGTGGTTTGAATTCACGTATCATGAATCATTAAATATCTTCGTGAGGAGTTGATTTCGGTAATTTTCTTTGAGTGCATCGTGTTCTACGTGAAACTTTGGTCAAGAAACAATTATCAGAATGCTGAAATTCGTACCTTGTCTAGTGGTCCATTCTAGTGCAGTGGTCTATCGGTTCGTCAGTAATTATTTAAGACGTTGCACAATGGGAAGAGCACCGTAAGCTTAAACGTCCTTTCTTCGAGGAATGACTCAATCGAGTCGGACGCTCGACTCGGCGCGATGCAGCAGGCAAATGCGGCAAATGACGTGCATCAAATGCTAATCGTGTTTTTGACGGATGCTCCGTGGCGCTGCTTCGCCCGATCCCGATGTCACAAACGAAACAAGAACAATGGATTCGCCGCATTATTAATGAGTCACCTCAGTCTCACCTCGTGCTCGGATCCCGAGTTCGGTTTCCATTTCATTCTCACCCGACGAACGCTTCCTCCACGGATCAATAATTAATTCTGCCGCGTTAAAGAAAAACGCCGTAAGAACCCTCAGGCCTCGCCAAATTCCCTTTGGTGATTCGCGAATCTTCGGGGGAAACGTGTAAATATTTTCCCTCCGATTTTTCAGGTAATTTCGTTCGCAGTTTCACCTTTAATTCCCGGTAATTTTACGGAAAAGTATTCAGAACTTTCCTCGAAAATGAACATTTTATCCAGGGAAATTTGGCAACTCTCGAATGTTCATGCGGCGTTCCTCCTTAGCACGGAAGAATTACTCGAGAGCTTTTTTCTCGCTGGGTACCCAGCGATTATCTCCGTCTATTTTTTTGACCTCACTGACCCTGTCAGTTTTTTTTTACGGTTTCTGGTGTTTCTTGCTCTCTTCGCGGGATTCGCTGTTTTCCGTCCGTCTGGTCAGCGTTCAGCGAAAGGACATTGCGGGCTGATCGTTGAAATCAATAGACCAAGATATAGACAAAGAGGACATATGGATTGCATTTTGCAAAAAGGAACCACTAGCATTGCAATGATGCTAAGATTGTGCAACTTCATCTTTTGCAATAAAATTGCTGAAATCGTGAAAAACTAGGAAATTTAGATGGTTATTTTTGTCTTAAATGTACAGTTTTTAGCGAGTATAATAGAAACTATTTATGGATAATCGGGTTTTTCCTCCAAGACAAAAGAAGTTGCACAATCTTAGCAACATTGCAATGCTAGTAGTCCTTTTTGCAAAATGCAATCCATATGGAGTATTGAGTGACCTTATTGGTTGAAATGGGTGAACCTATACCTATAGACAAGGGAGTAAACGATGGACTAACTGTAGTGGTTCTCGTGGGTTGCCGTTACTTAGTCTATAACCTTCCTCCTGTGTCCATTGCAACCACCCGCCTTCGCCAATAGGATCCCTCCATATCCATTTTGTCTTCTTTGTCGCTTTGTCTACCGGTTTCACCTCTCATGCAGCTGCTGGTGCTGTTCACAGGATTGCCGGCGGTCTGCAAAACCGGGAGAATCAGGGAAATTCAGGGAATCTACGAATCACCAGAACAGATCGCTGATCATCCAGCTGGTCACTCCTTTTGGTCATTTTTAAGGCTTGCCATCTTTTAACCTACGCCTCAATGTCTTTTTCCATAATTAGATCTGTAAAAAAGAAATTTTGTCCTAAGTTTAGCGCGCAACAGACCCATGAATGTGTGTTGTTTTGTCTGTTGTTCTCTAATAATTGTATTAATTAAAAAGAAAAAATAAGGTAAGCTGGACTACATTTTGCAATTCGGAACTACAATTTCTGGCTCAGTGTAGAAACAGCGTATGTACCATTAGTTTCCCTATGCACATAAGTGTTTTAACAGATGAGCCAGAAATCATAGTTCCGAATTGCAAAATGTAGTCCAATCAAACGTTGGAGAAAGCTAATTGATCAGTCGGCACCTTTGCGTTCGCTGAAGAAGGAAACTGAATCCATGGAGAGGAACCAAGTACAACTTGATTTACTATGAAGAATACTTTCTTTCATCGAGAATTCTGTCAACGAATTAACGAGTAAATCTCTTGCTTCTCAAAGCGTTTGGTGCGATTTCGCTCAACGCTGCCAATTTTTTGTCATGGAGTTACACGCTTGTTTGCTTGCGAGTTGTCGGTGGGGTTATTTGTATGAATAATTAATCGCAATGAATGGTTCTCAAAATAGATACAGCCAATATTTTCAGTCCCAAAGAGAATGCAAACCACCATAAGGTTAGGTACTTATGTTAATTTGTGAATCGATTGACGTAACTGAACTTATCGAATAACTTTTCGGAGGGCTTGTTACATAACCGATGTTCCTTTGAATCACACATGGCTTCCTATTCGTTGAACGCAGTCGTGAGGAATTTATTGAAATGCGCAAGTCTTCAAATGATGCAAATTATAATGAAACATTCAATCTGAATATTTTCTATATCGTTTTTGGTTTGTCACAGGAGTGCCTTTTTTTCCTTGAGACAAAAGGCACGGTTTCCTGTCAAGTAATGTCTCCGTTCGCACGTCATTTTAGCCCATTTTTTCGCTCTGCAAAATCGTCCGCCTCTCCTTCACCTTTCTCTTTCAGGAATTCTACCCGGTATTTTGTGTACTTAACCCCTTAATAAATACCATCAAGCGAAGTACATTGAGGTGTT